ATTATTTTACTCATATTATTAACATCTTCCCTGTTCTCTTTCTATAAATAATTATTGCTATCAAATTAAGTTTTTAATTTTAGTTGTACAAGGGTTTTTCTTTGCATTTTTACATATTTTTAAAAATGTTTTTCCTTTGTAGAACTATTCTTTATATAAGTTGGAGATTATATTATTTAGAAACTATGTGTATAAACTTAGTTTTATTCTTTGAAATTTAATGATATTATTTGAAGAATATTAATTTTAAGCCAGCTGTGTTCTGCTATATTATAGTATTTTCGTGGAATGACAGGCATGTCACATAAATGGGAAACCAGTATGCTGGTAACCCCAGGATTTCAGGCATACCAGTTAAAATGTGACTAAAATATAAAATTAATCAGATCTAACAAAACTAGTTGTTAATTAAAATAATAATATTGTAATTTGAGGGACTTAAAATCAGGAAAAGAGTTTTCGCTTACAAGATAATAAAACAATTAATGACTTATTGACAGTAGTAGTAGTAGTAGTAGTAGTAGTAGTAGTTAGTGTGAGCTACACTGACCATCTATCTACCTTGACCTTAAAAATAACACCTTCCTCTCAAATTTCATACAGATCCAGCCATATTAAATGTTAATCAGTGTAAGTTGAGATAATTTACAAGAAATTTCTTAAATTTAATGTGTTTATTTTTGCATTTTTGAATCAAATTAATAAATAAAATAAACATAAAAAAAAGCTCTTTCGGAATTCCGTGAGTATTTTATGTGGTTAGAGAGAAGATAAAATGAAGAAATTAAACGTATAATTGTAGTTTTTGATCTAATGCTCACAGTTTTAGAATAAAAACTTGTTTGTTTTTAGCTAACGTAACTTATTTGTTTTTATTTATTTATTTATTTATTTTCTTTTTCGGTGGGCTCTCTAAAGAGGGATATAATATAACCTCACTTAAATCAGTATGCTAACTGCTAACATTTCCCTGGGATAAATTTGCATGCCAGTTTTTACCATACAAAAATATCTTATTTTGTGGTCTCCCCTGGAGACTGATATGCCTGACAATCTATGAAAATACAGTAATAACATTAGAAATAGTATCTTCTGTATAATGCAAAAGACATTATGACTATATCCTTTATGCTAAAAAGAAGTAGTGTATTTTTTGAAGTTTTCAACACAAAAGAGAATATTGCATACAATGCAGACTTTATGTTAACTGTATTTATAATTGCTGATATTCTGTACACTTATTAGATAGAAACAATTTATCTAAAGAATGAAGCAGATACTGATACTCCTCAGACATTGTTTGAAATGATGCTTTTGGCAGTGTTTACAGTTGATGGGCATTCCTTTGGAATTATATATTTTATGTTCTTTCAATTGGTTCTGCAAATGCTCAGAGGTAGAGAGGTAGATAGATAATCAAACCCAAATTACTACAATAACCAAATGATAATGTCAAGTTAACTTTTTTGCTAGATTTGGCTAATTAATGTAGTAAGTACTATGTACTCTGAACTAGAGGTAGGCAGCTAAAACAAAATTCACAACTTATAAACTCCAACAACAAGTTTAATAATAGAAAAACATTTTTGACCTAAATTGATAATTCTTCTTCAGTTGTTGAACTATCAATTTGAATGAATTTGAAATTTGAATGAAAAAGAACATAAGATAAAATTTGAAATAGAAATCATCATTTCCTGCATATGATAGTTTTGGCAAGTAAATTGTTACTTCATACTGAATTTAATAATTATATTAATTTCGAATTAAATAATTAATGCTATTCTGGAAGCAAAGATCAGATGGAGGTCCAGGTAGCATAATTGGAAATATATTTGCACTGTAAGCAGAAATTGCAGGTTTGAGTCCTGCTCCAAATTGTTCTTTTCTTTCATAATAGACTTTCATAAAATTAAATAATTCATTTAATTTAATTCAAAATTAATTTAGTATCTATGAAATTAATTATCTAAGTTCTAACCCAAAAGTTTATTCAGTATTATCATTTGATTGGCAAAGATGTAAAAGTTTTATTTATATAACATATACCAGTATATACTAATCCAAATATATATAACTCCACTTATTAAAAAGTGGGTTATTTAACTAAGGTGGAGTCATCTAAGAATAGTTGAATTTTCATTACACCTTATATATTATAGATGTTACAAGAGAGGTTTCTCTTTAAATCAAATAATAAAGTCTGTATTCATTTATTTGAAATGATTGAACAATGTCTTTAGATAAAAAACACCAGATATATATTTTCATTGCCATAACTAAACAAACAAACTGAAAAATTTTCTGCTTACAATATTATAGAAACTTTTCAAAACAAAAAAATATACAGGTATCCATCATACAAAATTTCACAACTTTTTAAGTGCAAACTCTGTGATTTGATATTTATTTTTATTCAATTAAGCTAACATGTTGTCTCAAATTTGTCCATGAATTTTAGAATATTAAAATTTTCAAATTTTTCTGTGCCTTTTGTCAGATGATCAATCAATTGTTTCAAATGATTAAATTGGTTTTGCAAATTCTCAGAGGTAGAGACCTCTGAGAATTTGCAAAACCAATTTGCAAAACCAATTTGATCATTTGAAAGGTAAGCATATAGACTGAAAACTGATAGTCAATTTTTTTCTTCCTTGTTTTGCCTTTCCTATCAACTGGTGTCATTATTGTTGCTTTCATACTTTAGCTTCTAGGACTAATATTTAGTAAAGTTTATTTAAACATTTTTAGGTAAGTGCTATTAATTAAGCTTTTTTTAAACTGTACATAAGCACTCATTCATAAAAATGATGAATGAAATACGGTGGTATCTTGGTACTTGAACAATTCTGTATTTGAACATAAATATTGGGAAAAAATTGTTCAGTACTAGAACATCAAACAGCTATCAAAAATGGTTTAACCAATACAGCTTTGGCTAGCTACACATCCGACCCACACATCCAGGTAGATTTTAATGAGAAACACTTCTTACGTAATGAATCTAAACCATATGTCTTTAAACATCTGGAACAAGTTTAAATTTGCAAGGCCACCTGCCATAACTCAGCCATAAACTATCGCAACGTTGACTCCTTTCCCACTGCCCTTTCTATGAAATATAAACTCCCTTTCCCCTCCCTCTCCTCGCTTCTTACGTCATACACCCCTTCCTTCTACACATGTGTTTGGCAATCCCCAGTATTTTTCTCAGCAGTTTGTTGCCTGATGATGGTCATTTAACATGGGCGAAAATGTTCACACTTAGTTTATAATTTTATCATTGGTTTGTTAGATTTTTGCAGTGCTTATGAACTTTTTTTTTTTTTTTTTTTTTTCCTGATGAGGGCCTCTAAATTGTAGCCGAAAATATTAGAACATTACAGTTATTTGCTGGAAATCGCATATAGGTATTGGTTTCACTATTTTAAATTTTTAAATCTAGAATATATTGCATAAAATATGTAACAAACTTGCAATCTTGTTTACTATCCATAGAGTTATTAAAATGTCATGTAACATATGTTTTGTCAGATAAAGTGAAATTTCAGAAAATGGTGATTGATAAAAACATCAGATCATCTCTATGTTTAGTATAAATTACTATTGTTTGTTTTCATGAGATATTTTTCAATAATAATCTCAATAAACAGTTTTGCTGTGTGTATACATACTTTATAATTTTCAGAAGATCCATATAACTTGGTACCAAAAAAAAAACAAAAAAAAAAAAAAAAACAGCCTAATTCAGGAAAGCAAGAGCAGAATTGAAAGCAATGTTTTTGGTGTTTATTTTGACCATCATCATCAGCTCTTTTGAAAAAAGAATATTAGGATACAGAATGTTGCCAGCCCAGGGAAAAATTTACATTTTTAATAATTAACATGTAATTTACATGTTAATTATTAGATTAACATTAAATTATTACATATATATGTTTAAAAATTTACAAAATAGGCACAGGAATTCTGATGTCACGTGATGACATCAGAATTCCTGGGCCTATTGATGACAAGTCGGCTCCTAGTCAAAGTTGGTAGATTTTTAACTCTTTAAGCTTTGAAAACTCACTCTTTCTCTGTTGCTAATGATTAAATTGTTTTTACCCCTCAGGCTACAAGGGGAACTTGTATAGCGAAACTAATCTAACTTCTCAATCAGCCAATTTCGTTTTTAACGAATAAGGCTGATTTTAGCTGATTTTGTGTTTAAAGAGTCAACTGACTCCACAGCTGCCCCATGTAAACCAGATTTTATGAAGATGAGCTTTAATCTTGTAATAAGTGATAATAGTCTAATGTTTACAATTTGCATTTTCCTGATAAGAATTTCATTTTCTAAAAAATTTATTGAATGAATCAAATCTTATCAATCATCCCATTTATGGCACTGGTGCTCCCAAAAAACGTAGTTACTATCTCAGCTATCTCTACCACTGTTTTGGTGATAGAGGACTTTGTTGGAACTTTCAGAGTTCCAGCAAAGTCTGGTTCTGCCCCACCAAATGTTATTGACTCAGAACACCATTGCTGATATTGCAATAATTTCTTGATATACATTATTTTCTACGTCTTGCAAAGTTTTGAAAACAAAGTTAATCGCTAATTGGTTTGCCCAGTTGAAATTGTTTGGTTCCCAAATTTTTGGCAAAATTCTGTGTACCAATAATTGAGTTATTATTTCTGACATCTGTTAACATAATTGCAGCCTATTCTTGAGGTGTATCCATTTTTTCAGGCCCCTCTTTTATAGGCTACAAAAAGAACTATATATCTTTTAAAATTAGATGATTAATTTTGTGAGACCTTATGTATGTTCATTTACATAGTTAAATTAAAATAAATTCTATACTTTAACAGAACCATTTTAACTGTTCATAGTGCAATAAATAATTTATAAGCTGTTTTGTATTATGATAAAATTAATAAAATGTTTTCAGCATTATCAAAATTTTAGCTATATTGAATTTTCTTAAAATAGTGTTTATTACATATTATAGGTTGGGACAGCTGGACGAAAAAGCCGTCTTCTGCTAGCCATGTCCACAGCAGCCGAATTCAGAGACCATCTCACGTCCTTTAGTGAATTGTATGCTTCACTGGGTAAGAAGTGTCATAATAATTTGAATTTTAAAAAGAAAAATTGTCTATTTTAAAAATATATATTAATATAACAATATTCAATTGCTAGATTTAAAATCAAATAATATAACATATTTTTATTGATTTTGGAATAAAAAAACTAATGTTGAACTGAAACAGTGATGTTGAAATACATCAGAATTAGCATTTTATTTCTTTTTAGAAAGATGGAATTAAAAAATATAAAGATTATTTTACAGACATTTTAAAAATCCAAAGTGATTGTGGATTTATTTAATTTATTGAGAAAATAGAGTTACATTAATAAAACTTTAAAGATAAGAGAATGATTTTTTTAAAATTTATTTCATTCATTATTTTTAATCAGAATCTTTATCCTTCATTATCTTTTCATTTTGTTGATGTTTCAAAATTAACTTAATTTAATTACATGAAAAAATTATATAATTACTTTAAATTATAGCAGATGAATATTTTTGGCCATCTTGAATGGGCTATCCTTAGGTTCTAAAATAAGANGCATGCCATCATTGGAAGCGGTGGATGTGCCACTTACCTTGTATTTTGTAAAAAAATAAATACATATTAATTTTAATTATATGAAAATAATTGCACAATATTTTATTATAACTGCATTATGTATCTTATTACAAATTTCTATACTACATGTGAAAAAAAAGATAAGATCGCTATTGTATATTCAAATATTAGTGGCAGAGTGGAAGCGCTGTATTGTCAGCATCCAAAAAGCCAGATTCGCGCATGCACTTTACAGAGCACCAACCTCACCCGGTTTAGCTGGTGGAAGCCTACGACCTTGGGTGGATGCTACATGTATACCGCATCCAATTCTATCCAGGACTGGTTCTGGGCTGTTAGCCGCCTGCCCGCTAGATATTTGGCTGCTCTCGCCCGATTATGTGAATCACGAGTAGATTTATAACTTAACCCAACCGATAAGAATTTACTGGTATGTTTTTATGATAGTTCTGTATAGTTGACAGGAGTTTTAAAAACTCCATTAAAATATTTGATATTTTTATTTTGCTCTCCGATTTTATATTACTCACGGAATTTCAATGTTAAACCAGTGATATTATGATTTTGTATATCCCATCTTTAAGGGGATGTAGAAAAAAACGTGTACAATTCTTATACAATGTTAAAAAATTAACTGTTACTTTGGTAGCATTATTTACAACTAAATTTAATGAATGAGAGAGATGCACGAGGTACAGAAAAAGCTCTAGAATTTATTTTCCTTACATTTATGATTTATTTATTCGTTTGTCATAAAAATTTGTCTTTCCAGTTTTTTCCCAAGACTACAAATATTCGAGTAAAAAGTAACCGGTTCGACTTATTTCTACTTAATTAAGAAGTAGTTAAATAATTAAGTGATTAGGGAATTGGGGACATAAAGAAAACCCTGACGAAAGAGCCGAAATTTTACTTAAACAAAAGCTTAACCGAATCATCTCTAGCCGAGTACAGTGGAGACTGATTTCTTTGTATTATTAATGTAATAAAGACAGAAATTTTTCCAGTTTAATGAGAGTGACTGAAAAGTTGTAAATTTTGGAAATTTCTGAGGATACTTGGTCCTAAAATGAATTAGTTAGAAAACAAAGGACTATTAAGTTTAACGTATTTAGATTTTTACAGCTATGGTGAGAAATGTTTAAAATCTACAACAGCCCTGTTGCGTCCTATGAGATATACTAGTGATGCGACAAAAGAGGTACAGTCGACCCCCCTATGACACGGGTTCCTATAGTTCGGATTCCTATATCATGGCAAAAAAATTGTGACAGTATTCATACAAACATGCTAAAAAAACTCCTATAATTTGGTAAAACGTCATCGCCGACTCGTGTCACGACAGGATTGCACAAACCGTTGAGTTTAAACGAACAGCAGATTTACTAAAAACCATTTATTATTTAACGTCCATAAAAATTATAATTATATTAATGATGTCTCTAAAGTTCAGTGAATTTTTCACAAAAAAAATAATTTATCAGGAAGCATGCAAGCGCCATTCGAACACAATCTCCACGACGAAAACAAGCTTAATTAAGCAACGGCGTAGTTGAACAGTGCACACTCGGTAAGTAATCCTACAATTTTTTGTTTATAGCATAGTTTATATGGATTATTCCCAAAAAATTATACGTATTTTGGAAATGTTGAGTCGAATTAGTCTAGAATCGATTAATTTTATGGAAGAAACCTTTCAAACAGCCGTAGTCCGTAAATTGCATACGTGCCGGGCTGTGATTGACTGGACTCGTAAAAGCTGGATTCATAAAACTTGGAACGTATCTGCTGTGTTATAGGCGGTCGACTGTATTTGACATTGACCGGTATCGGCACCCTGGAGATTTGGCAGTCTGCGTGTATGCATGCTTTTCAACCGTCTTCGATTCCATCCATTAGCCACTTGTAGGGAGCTATTTGACTAAGTGCATTGTTTTAAGATTTGAAAAGTAAAGAATATTTTGTTATTTTTATGTACATTTCTGTACAAAGCTATATTTAATTATAATTTTCTTTAAAAGTATATTCATACAATTGAAGAATATTTTGCACCAGGTATATACTGGTACATCCACCACACATTTTATTTCACCAAGTAAGTTTTTATTATTTTATTTTTAATTGTAGCCCTTATATCATGGTTAGCGATTCAGAATGTAATTGTGATATTAAAAATGCATTTAGAGAAGTCTACGGGTTTTACTGGCTTATTGAATAAACGATACGAATGGATCTTAGACCAGGGATGGCAAACCTTTTTGTGTTCGCGTGCCATATTGTAAGCCTACTTAGCTTTAAAGATGTTAATGTGCTAAAGTGTCAGACTTCAAATAACGATATTTAAAAAAATTAAATGAATACACTTTAATTAGAATAAATGTAAAAAAGCTGATTGAAAAAAGGATGATCAGATGATAAATTGAAAAGATAATTGAAAAAGACAGAAATTGTATAATACATTATGTACCAGATAATTTCTCTTTACGTGCCACTTTAGGCACGCATGCCATAGGTTCGCCACCCCTGCCCTAGACCATCACTGATGTGCAATTGACTGATTGCCCCTGGATGTCGGCTTCTTACAGAAACACAGCTTCCCTATCATCAAATATCATGACACGCCACTGTGGTGCAACATAATAATCTTTTAGTTTTTACAGTGTTTTTGTTTCAGTTAATTTCACAAGAAAAAATCAGTAAGGTCAGCTGACCTAAGGAGTAGTTAATGTCTTCATCTTTGGAAATGACAAGTTTAATAATTGTTTCTTGTAAAACAATTGTGGAGAACATTTTGTATAGTTTGTTGCTCCATTCTATTGAAAATATAATGATGGTCTGATAAATTCATCAGTTTAAGGCTTAATAGTGATCAGAGTCATTGAGAGCTTATATGGGTCCAAGAATAGTGAAAGCCTTTTTGTTTTTTTTGAACAAATGAAATACATAGAATGTTTCTTTATTAATAAAAATAAGCAGTCTTAAATATATTTTTTTATTGGTAAAAATAGCATTAATTTATGTATATAGTAACCATTATTGGCCTTTGATTTTCTCCATTTCCAGGAAAAAATTCTCCAGCTCCTTACCTTCTCAACAGGCTTGGAAATGTTACATTGAAATGTTTAAAAGTAATTACTAATGCTTTTTCATTGTCCAAATAATATGTTAAACCAAAAAATATAATGCTTATTGTTCCATTCTACCATTTCTATTGAAATGGGGAAAAATGTACTTTTTAGAATCTAAAACATTTTTCTTATGTTGTTTTTGATTTTAAAATTATATTTCTCAAAAGATTGAACTTTATCTAAACAATTCTAATTTTCCAAACATTTTATATAGGAAATTTTTTATTGTACATGTATTTTTAATCATGTTCATTNCTTATATGGAAAATTAATTAACTAAGGATTTTTTGCCCTGCCAGGGTGTGGCCGAGTTATCCGGAGTGCCGGGTTATCGAGAGCCGAGTTTTCGAGGTTCTACTGTATTTAAAATAAAAATTGTGATGGAACAATAGATATGTAACATTTGTTCTTAGTGATAGAATTAGTGATTAATTTTTGATAAAAATAATGTTTAAAACAGAAATATGTCTAAACATAAAAAATTCCTCAGAATTGAGTGATTTTCTTATTTAAATTCTACTGTAAGCCAGAAACCTGTCCAGTGTGGAAATGGGTACAAAGAATGTAACATAGCTTGAATAAAGTGGAAAATTAAGATTCCCCTTGTAGACAAATAAGTAAAATTTTCCTCCAGGTATTGTCATGCTCTGGCATGATAATTCCTGGAGGAATCAATGCTATTCCAATAACATTTTGAACCTTGTCAGAGAAATGAAGGTCATGTAATATGGAGAGACAATGTCTTTGTTGGAATTAACCAAGGGCAAAATCAAATACTTTTAAAAAGTATTTGATTTTGCCAGTTCTTTCCAACAAAGGATTCTAATGTATTTCCAAGATTTGAGTTATCTCAATCTCACAAACAAGCAATGAATAAAATTTGTGAAAACAATGATAGTATGATAGCAAAATGTCACCAATTTGCCTAGTATGGAATTGCTAGTAACTAATTAGCATCGAGTATATGAAAACAAGTCAATTAACTTAATGATAATTATAAAGTTTGAAGTAAATGATTAATTAGAGTATTAAAATTTCTCAAAATCAGATTGCAGAATAACTTCATCTCTATATTACTATAATACAATTAGAATTTCTGATGAGAGAGCACAATAATAGTTCTGGTATTCAAATTGTTTGCTGTGTTGAATTCATACGGATCACATCTAAGAAGTGTTCAAATACATCGCACAAGTTCTCGGGAAAATGGGAATTGTTTGCAATTGAATAGCTGTCAATTCTTGCAATCAAATATTTCCATTTTTATTCAGAATTGCATTGAATTAATTTGGATTAAACCTAGTAGTAAAGTTTTTACATATGTAAAAGTAA